AAAAACTTGATGAGCGAGCGTACACAATAGGAAATTCCAAACGATAATTCAGTCCGCACGATTTTTCTAAAGTGTTAAGTTAAATACGATATATAAAAACAATTGGAAATGGTTAGCGGAAGAAAGTTTAAGTAAGAATTCTACTAAAACAATTAGATTATTCGCTCTTAGTTTCTATGAATTGATAGTTGATTCGGCCTTCGGCCTCATCAACTATCACCTCATAGAAATCTCGAGCTCATAATCTAATTGTTAATTAGTTATGCAGCGCTCTCGAGTGGTGTACCATGGATTATCCCCCAAGTCACTCGGTACATACCAAGTAAATACAAGTGGCCAGTGTAAATATTCCATGGTATACTACGAGAGAGCGTTGCATAACTATCTTATACCATGCCATAGAAAATACAGTGGACAACACAATCAATCTGCTAAACGTGAGGCGCGTGATGGGAAGGTCGGGTGCAATACTGTCAAATATACAACGTTAACGGATTTCCTGTATTTTGATTGGCTGTATTTTCTATCGCATGGTATAAATATTCAATGTAGACAACGTTAGGACGGTGTGATTTGGAAATCTGTTGGGAGTGCATGAGGACAGTAGCTTGAGGCACTCAAATTCATAAGCTTCCACAAATTAAAGGAGTCGTATCCAAAATTGCTCTTACTAAGGTCAGAACTGAGATGCTGTTGGTAGATCAAACTTTTCGTACAGGAACAGGACTCAGTTCCCACTCTCAAAAACACCATAACATAACTCAATCCTAAGGCGTTTTATTTTCTTTTTTGCTTTGTTGCAGTTTGAAGCATCAGCTCAGAAGTACGTTGAAGCACAACTACTGGTGAAACTGGACTTTGCAAGAATATACTGAATCGATTCTAGAATATAATCTGATGTCCTTGCGACAGAAATAAAGGTTCTTTGCTCTGAGAGGTCTCCTTTGAATTTGTTTATTACCGTTTCATCCAAAAAGACTTTCATTAGATGATTTAATAAATTTATGAAAAGTAAAGTGTTTAGAAATCTTTGAAAAGTCGCCAGAAACCTTTCGCATTTAGTAAGATCCAGCATCTCGAAACATGGCGCTTCTTCGCCTTGCATTGGAAGTTTAACTTTGTTAAAACCACAAGTAATTGGAATAAAGAGTTGTTGTGGCCCAATATTATTACGATGGCAGTTGTGTCTGATGGAGTGCTAATCGAAGACGAATTCAAGTCATTTGAGTGTTCAAAGGTTATGTAGATAAGATTGATAATTGTTTCAGCAGTCATTATTACGTGTAATTGCTACGTTCATTAATTAAGAAGTGAAATTGACATGGCACCTTTAATTTAAATGCCTGTTTCCCGAGTTATTTGCCACAAAATAAAACTTAAATAAACTTCAAAAAATAACATCCAGGATCATTTTGAGGTCAAAACATCTAAAATTAAACATTTGAAGTCTCAGCACCCCTAAAGACACAAAATTGGCATAACAATAGTACAATAAAAGTAAAAACGGTAAAGCACGCAATTTGAGAGTATCACTTCCCAGCTAACCCTCGATCGTACCAACATCAGTAGTAAGACATAGAAGAAATATTTTGCGTTATATGGATAACCCTCAGCTCGCTCTGCAATAGAATTTTTTATTATTATTATTATTATTATGACGTCACAGGACCCCTATCAGTCCGCCATCTTGGATTTCACAATTTTCTCAGTCTCGGCTTCACGAAAAAAAGCCCGTCAGCACAGGTCCCCTAACTTATAATGAAAACAGTTGAAAACTGCGCTGTTCAGCTCACCGTTCAGTGACAATCGATCATACAACTTGCCTTCTCAAACTCATTAATTATTCATCAAGTTCAAACAAAGAAATTTATGACCGTGACGATGTTTGAAAATCTCATCTTAATTAGCATAGATTTCTACGATTTCATTTTTCTGTTTTGTCTTAGTTTTAGTTTCAGTTGAGAAGATATATCAAACACTTTGAACACGTTTCCAAAAATTCAAAAATTTTCCACTTTGCGTCGTTTTTTCAACTCTTTTTTCGGTGTTTGGAAATGTGGTCAACCACGGTCTTTCGTGTTTGATATATTACGTCTTTGACAGCGCCAAAATTGTCGTTTTAGACCAAGAGCCGCCGGTGTTCACTCATTGTCCAAGCGAAGTCGTAAAAGATTATGCCACAACTCCTGAAATCTGAGTTGCCAGGAAGTTACCAATGAGTAACTCTGACATAAGCATATACATATTTGCGATAATACATGTCTACGGTCAAGGAAATCTAAAGAAAGACAATTTTTTTGTATATGAGAGCAATTACAGTGTCCATGTATTGCCCAATTTCAATATGCATCCCAAAAATACAATAATTTCTTTAACTTTACAGGTTATAGCTCGGAAACACTTAGAAGATATCCGACAATGTCAAATGTTCAGAAAAGATAAAACGAATAGAAATTATTTAAAGAGCAATTTACAAATTTAGACAGGGTAAACTGATAAAAAGGTAGGACCATGTTGCTCTAAATTGTACTCAGTAAAGATATAACGTTAAGAGAGCTGGCTGCCATTACATCCGTAGCGTAGTTGATAATTCTATTTCACTGAATGACATTTGTTTAAAACTTTGTATTTGTTTCGTCGACAATCTCCTCCAAGCGAATCTGATCGGCACTGGTTGCTGTAGTTGGTTGCTCGTTCAGAAACTCTACGGCTTTTGCTTCAAAGCATGCGCGATACCCCTCCCTGTGGTAAGCAGTAAACATCGCTGGCGTGAAAAATTGATTAGAGGTGGAATGTTGGGGAAAAGCTCCACACATTCCCTCGGATAGTCCCTGGCAAGCGTCCCCATGGCAACACTCACAGCAACAGAATGTCAGTCGGTCGACCTCTTTCGCATGAAGCTCCGGCCCAGACCCCCAGTTGTGCTCGTCAAGATCTTCATCAATGTCACTGAGAGCATTTCTCCACGTCATTGGTTCTACCATCTTGATTCCCTTATTTGGGTGTCTTGGAGCAATGAAAAGCACCTCAGCCTCTCCAACCTTGTGATCTTTATCTCCATCTGGGTCTTTGTCGAAATAGTCGACTTTGAACCTTGAAGGTAACGTAAGTTGATAGTAATTCTTCTCTCTGATCAGAATCTAATTTCTCAACACAATATCAGTGTACTGTAAAGGAGATAGGTTATGAGAATAAGGCAATCATCAACTAGAAAATATTGTCTTGGAACAAATTCTAGTAAAGAATTCAGGGCAGGAACAAGCGATTTTCTTTTTGAGTTTAAACCGCCTTTTTGACACCTTTGTACACTATTTACCTTTATACACTAGTAGTGGTAGTAGTAAACTTAGTTTGAGTGTCAATTGTTCCAGCGTTTCTCACACTAATTGGCGACGGTAACTAAGAACTAAGAAATATATACTAACATGTGGAAAGACGCGCCTTAAGCTAACTTAAAGCTCGAGCTCCGTCTATGTTTTACTTCCCCAGGTCAAACCTTGAGTCAAGTGGCAACCTTATTACGACAAATTGTATCAAAAGCTTGAGAAATACTTGCTGACAATACTCTAATCACGGCGTAACCATTCAAATGAATCCTATAGAGGAGAACAATTGCTTTCGTCTGACGCAATGTTTTTCTTTTAATATCTCAAAAAATGGAAATTTGAATCCTTTAACTCCCTTGGGGTCAGATAGTAGCTCTCGCAAGCTCTCAGTTTAGTCACAAACCTGTAACTCCTAGGTTGATTGCCAGGACTTCGCTCCAAAAGATTCACTCGAATGTCTTCGCTAATATCACGACCATTCAACGCAGTGAATGAACATCTCAACTTCTTTCTTGCCATTTCCAGCGCATTTAACAAGGTGCTGCAAAATTCTTGATCAGAGGCCACCCTCCCACCGTGGACAGAGATGATCTTTTTCAGCCTCAGTTTTAAAAGGGGTAAGATACTAAGATTTTCAACGTGGCCACCATCGCTTAGACGCAAAACAGGAGGAGGATTGGGCCCCTGGTTTAGTGTTTTACGAACATAGCTTATGTATGGTATGTGCACTGCAAGGTACCTGAGAACAAAAGCCATGATTACTATTGGGACTTAGAGTAAAGTAATGCAAGTGAATTAAGCTCATAACTCGTCTCCAGAGTTCGACGATGGCCCGAGTAACCTTAAGGATGTTTCAATTGGTGTCGTTGAGGTGTAAACAGTGTGTAAATGGATACGAGCGAAAAGCATTTAATAAATTAAAGGCTATGACATTAAATAAATTATCTTATGCTTATCCTAGCTTGAAAGAACCAGCAACCAATAGAGGAAGACTACCAAGAATTCTTAGTCATTTAATTTAAAAAACCGGAGTTTAAAACTTCTTCTAATGGGCTGTATTTTCATTTTAACAGCCACGCTTCGAACATGTGACCTCTCCGACCTAATGCCCTTAAGGACGTTCGCGCGAACTGTTTCTGCGCATCTTTACTGCGCACGCAAATTCACACGCCACGTCATGCATAGAGCGCACGCGCTAAGTAATAACATGAACAATGATAGGGCAGATGGCCATTGCTATAGCTTTTCCTGGATTTAACGATCTTGGACGTTCGGTGATCCCTATTTTTCTTTTGTGGATCATTTTCTCTACCGATTTTGTACGTTTAGCGAAAAAATGAAGAAAATCTATTAAGAGGGGCCTGCACTGCTTAGTCGCCTCCCAAAACTATGGCGCTTATGTACATATTTGTCACATTTTATGTGACGACTCATCTACATGAGCAATTTTTCGCCTCTGAAAACTTTTATTTATCACATAAACGCTAACACGTCAGCTTTTCAGCAAACACATTTATCACATAACAATTGGCCAATTTTCCTCGTCCACCGAGCAAGTAAGAATTGTCACATAAAAAGTGCTCGTGTAGACCGGGCATTAATTCGATTCTGGGCCCCGTTTCTCGAAGGTCCCGAAAAGTTTTCGCACCTGGAAAGCAGCAGCAAAATCAGATACAGATTAATTAAAAATTGCTTTGCGGGTCCGAAAAGTTTCAAGGGCTTTCGAGAAACAGGCCCTTGGATTCCCCAACGAAATGTAGTTATTAATTAATTTGTCTTCCATTTTGACCTCAAATAAAGTAATAAAAATACCGTTTTTTTTTTTATTTATTTATTTTGACGTCAAAATACAGGACAAATCAGAAGTTGATAAGAAGATTTACTTATAAATAGGACATTTCCCAGTTTACCTTGTGCCTCTGTTCCGAAACGAGTCCCCGAGCAAAATCTTTGATATGAAAATGCTTTTGACACAGAAGCAAAAGGAAACTCCAAAATGGCCTATTTGAGCATACCTGGCGATCTTTTCCGTCCGGCATGGCTTAGCACTACCCGTGGATACAAGCGCGCAAAGAGTCAGTACCTGGAGAATAAAGAAGAAGCCAAACACACCAATGGTGAGATAGGCGTCGTCACCAGTTTTGTAGTAATAATAGTATAAAAACACAAGTGGAGAAACCCTGAAAAGTTCAATGAGGCCTGGAAGGATCTGAAAGATAGAACAATTATTTTATCGGCGCTACATCGCAAAAACATCCGGACACCCACCTGCTCATTACGGGCGAGGGGCAGACTTAGGGGGGGGAATTGGGTGGCTAGCCAACTCCTCTTTGGAGGAGCAAATTGGAAATTGGAAACAATCGTAGATATCATGGAAGAAATAAAGGCAATCTATCTGGACAGATATTTCGTTGTAATTTATACATTATGGCATTGCTAGTAATTCTGGTATATCAGTTTTCAACTAGGGTGCGTTCCTTTGAGGTGATCACTTAGATCATGGTGTATCAAAGGAACCGATGAATCCGTGACCAGAGTGGATGCATCGGTTCCTTTGACGCATCATGATCCGAGTGATCTTGGATCACTGATCCTGATCCAGATCACCCTAAAGGAACGCACCCTTAGATTCCAATTTTCAAATTGCCACATCCTAGGGACATGCCTCATTGATTCTGCAACCCCAAGATACCAGCTACTCCTATCCCTCTTGAAAAATCCCTGCGAGCAGTTTAGCGCTAGTGTGTCCCTTTGGTGTCCATATTAACCGGCTTTCACTGTAGATGAATAAGCAAGCAAAGAACTTCCAAATTTACAATGTTTAAAATTTAAGTCAAATTGAAGCATGAGACAGAAATACACCTGGACAAAAAATAATAACTTAGATATACTCAAGAAGTAATGGGCAATGTAGACACAAACACGTTTTAAATTTGAGTGACTAGTGTAGGGCTCAAACGGGTGTGACTTTTCCATGTAATCGCCAGGGTATAATTACCATTGCAAATTGAGTTTGCATAGAGATGCTGACCCTTCTTTGTCCCGTGAGAACGGAATCTACGTCCTTCTCATTTCATAACAGAGGATGGTTTTCAGCGAATTCACACCAACCTGAAGACACATATTGAGTGTTCTTTCTTGCCTGGGATCCCCAGGATTGACGTACCCATCGCTATTCCAAGCGTCACCTTTAAATCTTTGAACGTTTCCCGCTGGCCCCCTTCAAGGGCACCCATGTGATGGTCGACGGCAGCAGCAGATGTTGCCATGGCATCGGACAAATAAACATCCTCCGGCATCAATTTGCCTTCAAATTCGCGCTCCTGAGGAGACCTATCCAGTCTTTCAATTCCTTGCGGAGACATTATCAGAGCTTCGTAATCTGGTTCTGTCGGGGAGGTAGTGCGTCTCCATCGATTGACGACTGCATTGCTAATGTAGATCGGTTTGACGTTTTCAAGGTCTTCTAAAGTCAGCGGTCGGTCAGGGTCAAGGTTCATCGGGTTGACTCGCTTGCACGTTGGGCAGCTGAGAAAAAAGTCTCGAAACGAAATCCCAGCACAACCGCAGCGGCTGACACTCGAAGGTGTGTACAATGCCTTTTGAAGACGCCACCTTAAATCCAAGCATTGAATGTTAATTGATGAACTGCCTGTTTGACACATAAATGTGAGATTAATACTTCCTCGGGTTCAGGACACACACAAAAAAAATGAATTACCTTTTTTCGAATAATATAGCATTGTTCAAAACCTTGTTTTGTCATTTTACTTGTCAATTGTGACCGCATATGAACGGGACCCAGAGTTATTCTCCCAATTGCGAAAGTTATCTAGACCACCAGAACTCTTCCCTGATACAGTTGACTCCCGAAAATGTGAACCTTCAAGGGAAATCAAGAAAAGTTTGAGTTTTCGGGAGATGGAACACATGACCGCCGGAAAATTAGCAAATAAAACGGTGTCCGTTTCAATAAGGCTTGCTATTCTAATTATTCAGGTCTATCCTTCAGCACGGCATAAATTTAGTACCTTGTTTCAGAATAGTGGTGATCTTAATTGGGAAGTGATCTATCAAATTCCTCATGCTGTCACGCTTGACATTAAAGCAAGAGCTTTCAGTATAAATTACTAAATCGAATAATTTATACCAGCAAATCCTTATACAAAATGAAAATGATTGATTCACCCCTCTGCACTTTTTGCAAAATTTCAGATGATTCTCTCGAGCATCTTTTTTGTAGGCGTGATTTCACTGTAGCATTCTGGATGTCTGTTGTTCTTTGGCTTAAATCCTTGCACATTGCTATCGATTCTCTAAACGACTGTGACATAATTTTTGGACTGACGCAAAAAAGGTCTCATTGGTTGCTTTTAAATCATATTATCATCGCTGAAAGCTAGTTATTTACTACAGTCGTCTGAAGAGTATTTTACCATCATTGCGTCATCTCATGATAAAATTAGATCACATAGAATCCACTGAACGATCTATAACCATAACGAACAACCGACTTAAAATCCACGAAGGAAAGTGGAAGCCTCTCATTAATTAGAGATACTTTTTTGTATATTTTTTATTGAATATTTATTGTATAGACACTTTTTTCTGTATTGTTAGAAAACTTATGTAGTGTTATAAGCGTTGTAAACCTTATTGATTTATTTCCGTTTCGGGTGTTAAGTATAAGTAGTGTGAAGTAGTGTGAAGTAGTGTAGTATACAATGTGGGTGTAAATTAGTATGTAAAGTAATTAAGTAAATTACTATGTAGTGTAGAAGTGTGTGGTAGTGTAATATACAATGTAGCTGTAACTTAATGAATGTAATGTAATTATAAAAATAAATAAATAATAATAATAATAAATCCTCTGCGGGTTTGAGAAACGCAAAAAAATAAATAAATAAATAAATAAAAAGAAGGCTTGCTACAGAGAACTGTAAACCTGGCACTATACTATGCCAACATACGGAGGGTTGGTATCGGACGTCGACTGTATAACGTAACACGGGGAGTAACACTAGGATCGAAAAGACCAGAGAAAGAGCGAGCGAGAAAATAGAATCGCTTTAAAAAATGGTGGCGATGAAGGGCACATCATTCCCACTCTCTTTCTCCGCCCCTCGGTCAACAATGCATGAGGGACGGTGGGAAGGATAAGTCCTTATGTGGAAGTAGGCCAAAACACAAGAGCCACCTTACAAAAAGAACACAAAGGGTAGGCTATCGGTTTATACTGCTATTTAAGTCAGTATAGGGGTCTAACTGTTAAATTTCTATGGATGGTATTAAAATGATCAGGAGGTGAGGACGGTACTTCAGGAGTGGACGTTAGACTACGAATTTATTTGTACTTATCTATCACCATCTAGAAAATATCAATATCATGGAATAAAAAGGTGAATGGCTACGTACCTATTCTAAATATGGCCAACGCGTTGTTGTAGCGTCCCTAGAAAAGGTGATATCCATAGCAAGAATCCTGATATCCACATCATCTTCATAAAGAGGTGTTCAGAGTACGGAACATAAGAAAAGGTTTCCTTGTAAATTCGATACACAATGACGTACGCGTAGAAATATATAATAACAACAAGAGTGGCGTTGCTTCTCATGACAGGAAAGGCAAACCACAGCAGGACGGATGGAAGAATGACCAAGAATTTCATCCACGTGGGTATAAACTCCAAAACGTCGTGGAAAAAGCAAGGAAGAAACACCAAGCCAAAGATAGCTCCGCATGTGGTGATCATGAAGGAAATAGCAGTTTTTATTCCAGGGAACAACAACAAAAGGAAGTATGAGAGAAATGCCAGGACTAGAGGAGCCCCAAACAAGCAAAATCTCTCAATGGCCTTTCGTTTCCGCCGTTGCAGGCATTCCTGGACAGTTTCGTTAACCAACATGGTAGAGCTGTCGCGCTTTGTTATAATTCCACCGCGTATAATATCACCTGCAAGGAAGTCAACAACGTAAGCAAGCGGAAAGGCATAGGCAAACCACAGAATAAGAGGAACCACTAGAGCTACAAACACCGGTAGACAGAACAAGATTATGCAATCAAAGATTCCATGAAGAGGCCTTTGCCAGTCGCAAAAGATGCCACTTCTTTGGCGGAGGTGATCAAAAAATTTCAGATGCCAATCCTTGTTGTCTTGCTTGTCATGGCGAAATTTCCAGTCCATGTAAGCGGAGCCTGTGTAACCGCCCCCTGACACGGCGCTCAGATAATCCAGGTTAGCGTTCCGCTGAAGCAGTCTGCGAAGGACACCAGAGCAGAAGGCCGCTGACCTTATTCCCCCTCCTGAGAACGCTAAGCCGACTTTAGCCATTGGAAAGACTACTGGATTGCTTTCCTTTCAACAGCGTAAGTTATCTAAAGGGAAAAGATTTACGAGGTTCAAGTCTGTTCTTGGCAAGTCACAACACAACTATTGGTCAGATTAAGATTTATCACTCAATCATTAACAACGATTCACTCTGCTTCCGGCCCCTTAACATAAAGTAACAGATAGTATTGCTACCCTCCCCACCCCCGTTAATTTCGATGCTATACACTCTCTTTTATAAGAATTTTTTTTTTTCTGACCCAGACTGAATATTCTTATTTTTCTGCCGATTTTAGGCTGAAAATATTCTTGTGAATATTCTTAGACTGCTATGCCGACACAACGTCCTATTATCTGTCCTATCACGACTACGACGGCGTCAAAGTAATTTTGGAGTCACATTGCAAGCGGTAATATAGCCTGATATGGCACACATAACGTCTTGCGGAAATTTTATTAGCCTCGAACATGCGCCTAGTGTTGTTTTTTGGCTAGTTCTGTGCCGTTTTGAGAAGTTTATATGGTTTGTTTAGTTCAAAACATATAATTGTTTTGTGATTACAAATTTTCAACACAAAAAATTATACCGTTTTTTCTTGGTCACCAAATGGGGGTTATAATCCCAAGCGTTCCTAGCTGAGAGTGTGGAAACTGAAATGGCGACAGGTTTACTCTTCGGGGGCAACAATTTACAGAATGCTGTGTTCTACGAAGAAAGCTTTGTGAAAGAGTCAAGCCCTATAAGCTCATCTTACATACAAAGATGTAGAGCGTTTTTTTAACTACTCAGCGTTAAATTAAATATCCTGATTTCTTTATTTGTTTTTATTGTGTACTTGTAAAGCACAATTTTATATTGCATGCAATACGAAGCCCGAGTAAACGCTCTTGGAGCGTCTAGTTCTTAAAATATTCTTAAAATTCAGTTTAATTTGCAAATTCCAGCCTCGATATTCTTACAAGATGTATTCTTTAAAAAAAAAAAAAAAAAGAACGTAGTGCAAATGGCAACTATCACAGGTAGGCCAAGCGCGAAAGACGGGCGTCCGTATACAGTACTGATGTTACGCAACGTTCTAACTGATAGGGATTTGTAAGGGAAAAACGGTTCTATTCGTAAGCCCAAGAAAATTTGAATAGTATTGAATACAATTGTACCTTCCTCGCTTCCGTTCTGTGGTTCTTTGTTTCTTGTGAGGTTTCTAGGCCGATTTATGGCTATTTAAGAGGTATTTTCACGGGTTTTTGGAACTAACCTAAATAGCCATAAATTGGCCCAGCAACTTCACAAGAAAGGAAGAACCATACACCTGACGCGAGGTAGGCATACTTTTATTCAATACTCGTTCAATACTCTTAAAAATAAAAGCATTTTTCCTCATACAAATCCTTATATTTCAATTGTTGTGTAACATAGACTTGCGCTTATATCAGTCTCTCCGAAAGACCCAATATTGACTCGGTCTCCGTAATTCAAATAATTCAACAAACGTTTTTTTCTTCTTAGTAAATATTAAACTTGACCAGATTAAAATTTGCCACAAAGAGCTGACTTAGAGCTGAACTTTTAAGAAGGCATTCTTACTCTGTGTTAGTTTACAAAATAACCCCATCCGTTTTAAAACAATAGTATCTAAGCGAAGGATTTAAAAGTCATTCTTGTGTGTAATGTCAAATAAAGTTATTTACGGAGCAAAGACTTCTGCTCAAGTCTCTGCGCCTTGCTTTTTCCTAAGTGAATCACAGCGCTTAATTTTTCACAAAACTAACGAACAGGGCATATTTAAGAAGAGACACTGCCTGTGATTTTCGCACTGAATAGTTTACTAAATAATTCCAACCGTCCACAACAATACAGCTGACAATAGTATCTACGCGAAGGATAAAAAAACCATTCATCTGTGTAGCGTCACATTAGAATATTAGAGCCGCTACACTTGTGCTCAAGCCTCTTTGCGTTACTTTATTTTTGACTTTTTCCAGACTGAATCATGATATTTTGCTCAGCTTTTGCGCTGGGATCGCTCAGTGATATATTCTTTCAGTGCCCACAATTGTACCTGTAGTTACCGAAATCAGAACAAAAACATTTAGTCAAAGAACCGGTTGTGTTCGGTCCTGAAATTAATTGACGCTGAATGCAATGGTTGCTTATGTTCTTTGCCTACCTTGCCTTTTCTTCTTTTGTCACTGTTTGTAATAACGCTAAATTTCCAAACTCCGCTTGACGATGACCTTTGCAGTTGCTTGAAGATGAAATCTTCATTATTTGAAACCACTGACGCACAACGAAAACCAAATGTCAGAGAATCACTTGTCCCTTCCCCTGCCAGGATCGAATCTGCTTCTCAAAGAAACACGCACTCCAGTGTACATAATACAATCATTTCATTGTTTCCGCTTGAGCGGGATTGTTTCCGCTCTGGTTGCGTTGCCAAGATGATTTTCACAACTTTCCAGACTTCGCGTCCATGAAACAAATATCAGCCTGCGATATGATGTCTTTATTGATATCCCGTGGGAGCAAGATATTAGTTTGTTTATTTTTAAATCCCTGATAATGTCATCAGACCCTCATTCCAATGCAAAGCTCCCGTATTGCTGTTGCGTGAGTACTAGTTCTCAAAACCTTTGTCTTACAAGAAAAGTTTTAGTAATTCAGGAGTAATAAACAACTAGCATAGGATAATGGGAGTGATGAATATCGACTTTAAGGATCACAATAATCGATATTCAAGGAATAAATCGTATTAGCTTATCACGATATTAGAATACTCTGCTTCAACCCTTGCGCTCTGAGATCTGCAAATTTATAGTTAGCTGAGTAATGAGCTGAAATGTTAGTCCCACATATTAACTGATAGCTGACAAATCACTGAAATGTAACTGGCATAACTGAGATTTTTGTATCACATCTTCTTTTGTACAGTGTTGTGCGAACATCCTCCATGCCCAAACGCTTTTTTTTTTATCTTAACGCTTTTTAACATAAGTTAACTTTATTAATATATAATTTATTGACAGTTAGTAGCTATTTTAACATAACGCTTTTTAACATAACATTAACTTTATTAATATTTAATCTATGGCAGTTAGTAGCTCGCAGCTCGCAAAGCTATTCTGGGTGAGCTACTATTACTTTAAGAGTATTATATAGTTTAGTTAAAAGAGAGAATAGGAGAAAAAATGAAATTAAAGAAATTTGAGCAGATAAGCAAGATTAAACCAAACTATTATACATAACACATAATGCAATATCATGGGTGACAAATTACTCCTTAATTTTGGCGCGAAATTTCAGATGTTTTTTTTTTTTTTTTCGCATGTGAAATTGCAAAATTGTAATGGTAACGTTTGGCGCGAAATTTCTCGATACAATAAGCAAGTCAAAAACCCAGGGTTAAAAGCATTATTTGTCACCTATGACGTTAAAAGGTAAATCAAATGGTATACTCGTAGGAAATAACTTTACTTGCGTTTTGTCCAAATTCTAATAAGAAGAATTTTGACAAAACGCGCGTGAAATGATTTCCTAATTTCACTCAATCGTCACCATTTGATTACCCTAAAGAATCTGTTAGACATTTATTTCTACAGTAGAGGTATTCGTTCCGTCCTTGCGTACCTTAGTTACATGTTTAATGTACAATTACTCTCTCTTCCTATCGTACAAACATGCAGTGGACGTAAACTACCCAAAATCCTCTGGGTATATAACCTCCTTCATCCACTAACGTCACCACAGGCGGCCCAGACGTTGAATATGATTAATACGTGACATCATGCTGTTGGCGGTTGCGTTACAATTTTAGCCGTTCATAAAGCAATGTATGAGAATGCTTCGAAAATTACTCTAAATGCTACGTGTAGAAAATAATTTGAATAAATGGCTTACCTTGTGTTTGCATTGCGTTATTTTGATGTCTCTGGGTTCCTGGAGGTGGTTTAGAGCCATTTAGGCGAGTTTTACTTTCTAGCCGTTTGCTTCCCCTAAAGAGAAACGANACGTCACAGGTGCAATGTTAAAGCTATTCAAGCGTGAAGGTTTGAACACGCAATCCGATAAGCTTTCGCCCAAAAAAAGTGTTTAACTGACGGACTGAGCATACGGCATAAGGTAAGTGAAGCTTTCGACTCACCCGTGCAGGTTTTGTAATTAACCTGACCATAGCTTTAGTGTATTTTTATGCGTGGCTGATTTAAGGTTGCCTCTTTGTTAGCCCTTTGTTGTTTTCGTATGATCAAACGAAGGTGTAATAAAAACATAGTTTCCTATGGTGTGCAAAATAATGAAACGTCAGGTCGTAGGTTCCTCTCCATAACAGCGAACCACACTTACAAAACGCCAGAAATGTTCAAGTAGCAGTGATCTTTCCTAGCTGCTCGCTACATCAAAATTTACTTACAACGGAACTACACGTCCAATACACTTGCAAATAATAGTTTTCAGTAACAACAGCGACTTATCAAAAACTTTCTGCATGACATTTCAAAACGTAAATTTAAACTTGAAACACTTGGCAAGAGGACGGGAAACTAAATTTTTAATATCTTTCTTCAGTGATTTTTTTAAATTTCAACTGCAATTAGCATAAGTTCCTGTTTCACTCTTGACAGGGTGTAGTTTAAAATGCAAATCACAAAAGAATCGTCAGTCAACCGTAAACAAACAACAGGCTTCGTATTTACATTTATATTTGATGATCATGCACCGACCTTACATTTTTTAGTACATTAATTAATTATAGTTCATAGTGCTGTTATGATGTGAGTCTATAGAGGGCAAGGAGTAGCGCATCTTTTAAGTGTAGGCTCATGTGGGAGTCCATGTTTTCCTAGTCAGGAATGTGAGTAAAGCTTTAACAAAGAATTCAGTCACTACACAGCAACGGTTTAGAATGATGATATTTGTTGACAGTTTAATTTTTTTAACATCTACAAGTGATTGTTCACCTTGCCTTTTAAGGTCAGAAAATGCATTGGATCTTAATTATATTTATATCGTGCTACTTTCCCTGATCATAACTGTTAAATCAGCTGAGGATATGGGCAGGCTTTCGTCACATATTGTTGCAAAGATTTTCAGGGAACCACGTTACCACTTGTTGCAATGCTCGGTTAAGTTAGGGCCACTTCTGAACTCCTCCTACTGATTCTGCCAAAATTGCATGGTCTCTTCTGATACTCGTCTTACACACAAACAAGGGATTTGTCGTCTTTACTGATCCACTGCTAAGATACATTTTACGACCAGTAACTTATAGTCAAGCCCAACTTCTTCACCAGTCGACAATTCTGTGTAACCTAGCCTTGCCACCTCTCTTACAGGAACGAAAATAAGCGTACTCCAGTTAAATGGCAAAACTAGGGTTGTCATTCTCTGGTGGTGGGACTCGGTCAGCGGCCTTCTGTTCAGGAGTCTTGCGCAGACTACTACAAAAGAACGTAAATGTAGACTACCTGAGCTGCGTATCAGGGGGCGGTTACACAGGCACAGCCTACCTGGACTGGAAATACAGGCACGAGAAGAAGGATAACAAGAAATGGCACCTGGAATTCTTTGATCACATGAGAGAGGGTGTCGGCTTAATCTGCCACTGCCAAAGACCCTGCCAAGCAGTTTTGGAATCCGTGGCCCTTATCGCCTTATTGTTATTTGTCACTCTCCTTGCACCCATCTTGCTGTGGAGGCCATACGCATTTCCGCTGGCATATATTATCGATTTTCTGTTTGGCCGTATTATGAGGGGTGGTCGACTTGCTTGCCCTGACCAAGTTCGACGTAACCCAAACATTACCATTGAAGAGTGCCAACGGGCGCGTAGGACAGACGACTTGATCTACCATCGGTTTGCTTTGTTCGCGATACCAGTTTGCATTTCATTTATATCCTATGTCATCAAAGGCTTTGTGCAGAAAAAAAAGGGCTATTTCAATTTTATTAGCACCTTTTGTCTAGTGTTTTTTGCTTTGGTGTTTATCCCATGGTTCATAAACGAATATATTCGTTTCCTTCCAACTTGGATGAAAATCTTGGTGATTGTCCCTTTCTTCTTAGTTTGGATCTCATTTCCGGCAATGCGTAGGAACGCTACATTGATGACGGTTTGTTACGGCTACTCATTCGTCATTCAAATACGCATCTACCATAATAATTCCCTGGGGATCGAATATGACGACAGACTCTTCAATCTGCTGTTGGGAGTGTCTGCAATTGTGATGTGGACTGGTCCCCTCATTTCAGCGATACAACAAACACTTGGTCACGTGTATGTCAGGTAACATTTAACGCTGTCCATTTTTGTTTTAGGTAGAGAGGGTAGCTCATGGGATGAGATGGGTATGCGATGTGATAATGTGAAGCCTGCAAACTAGAATTGAAAATTCGTACTCGATCTCGTGCTCGAACTCAAATCTAAAGTCCCTTCTAAATGAGCGCACGGTAACATGGAATCTATTTGTTTTGTATAATAAAAAAAAAAGAAAAAGAATGTTAATGACTTCATCTATAACTCTGACCTTCACTTGATCATGAGTAAGAACCAACCAAATTGCGAAAATAATTTGACTTTTTAAATAAAGTACAATGAGCCTAGAAAGAATTGAAATTGTGATAAAGCGCAAAATATATTCGTAGAGGGTGGGGCATTATCGCAGGGGGATTTTGAATCTGATATCTGGGCAATGTGAATGGAAAGAAGGGATGACCTATCTAGTCAGAATACAAGCAAGTGTGGGAAATTTTAACGCTTCGAAACTGAGTCACTTCAGTTTTACAACGTTTGTTTACGGCAACTGTTTTAAGAATTCTGACATTTACGTTGTTGTTCATTTTGCAGATGGATCATCCAAAAGGCATTTTACTATCCAAAGACTGTTGGCAGGTGTAGTTGCGGTGGAATCTCCTGGAGTGACCTTTTCCTTTATTTGCCAACCTTTGGTAAACCCAAAATTCAAGCACTGAACCGCAGCGTGGCCCTAACCTTAGATGACCTCGATGACGTAACTCCCACGTACATCGGGTGCGTGACGGTTAACAGATGGCGACGCACCCCTTCCCCGAGAGAAGCTCATTATGAAGTTCTTACCATGTCCCCCCATGGGATCGAACGCCTTGATCGCGCACCTGAAGATGAAGAATTTCACGGCAAGCTGACGCCTATGGATGTATATCTCTCGGATGCTGCTGCAACGTCTGCAGCCGCGCTAGACCATGACGGTGGAAGAATGGTGAACGATGAAGCACACTTCAGAGATTTAAAAGCAATGTTGGGGCTCTCCTTGGGTGCGTCGATAGTGGCTGATAAAAGACACGAGGAAAAGCGACACTTCTGTGTACAGGTGATGAGAGAGGAAAAATTCCTCTGTTAATTATTTTGGTCAATTATCAGTTTATTCTCGTTTTCGCCTGAGACCGTGTAACGTACGTTTGTACCCTGGAGGAGGGACTCTCACATTATAAGGCCGGGGATGTTCGTTGTCTCGCTTGGGGGTGAAAATCAAGGATTCTGGTCTCACTTAGGGTATTCATGACAAAACGCCACTAGTGTTAGCTGTCAAAGTATCTTTTAGGGTACACTCGAAAAAATAATAACAAAAGAAACGCTAGGCTCTTATATTCGTTTTTAGGTTCGATTTCTGCCGTCTCTCGAGTCCGGTCTTCAAGCTCGAGCTCCATTCCTGAACTGCGGCTGGTAATCAAGCCTATTTCATTTTAAGTGGTATCTTTTAGGGATCAAATGAAGCTGTAGCCACACCCAGATTGGTCTCTTTTACGGGCTTAATTCAAATTTTCCGACGAGCATACCCGATTTTTTGATATGGGAATCCGGGCGTTTGTACTGGCGGCGATATCTATTTAAAATATTTAAGACAAAAGAAACAATAAAAAAAGGAGCTATGTCTACTCGAACCCAAATTAATCCTTTAGTTTAATTAAGTAATTCTTTGCCACCAGCCATGTAATCGGGCCGCTGTACCGGCCTCTTATTTTATGACAATAGATAATTGAGGTACTAGCCTAACAGAGTATATGAATATCAAATTTTGGAAAGTTGTTATCCCAAGTAATCAGCCTGTTATCGTAGAAGTTAGGATTCAGTTTTCATTCGATCATCTCATTCTCGTGCTGGTTCAACCAAAGAAAATGTCGGCAACCAAGTGTTGATAAAATGTTACTCAAACGTCACAGTCAAAATGCGTCTTATTTTAGATTCGTTTCGAAAAGAATTCGTTGTTGTTGCTGCTGTTTTTGTTGTTTTTGTTGTTGTTGTCGGTTCTGCTACTGCTGCTGTTGCTTCGTCTGTGATTGTTGTAAATAAACACAGACGCCGATGATCTCTCCTTCTTTTTCTTCTAGATTCTTCCACCATTGATTGAGTTGATCCGCGTTATTCCTTTGCTGGTCTTTGTGGGTATATTCATAAAGACCCGAGAGAGTGAATACTTGGCAATTGGAGTACTAATTTTTTTCGGTATTTCACTGTTACTCGTGTTCATGGCACTGGTGCCAACTGGAGGCAAGGATGTTGGAAGACTGGAACGGCTTGCAAGGTAAGGGTCGGCCTCAACACCGAGATCGAGAACATTATTGACAACATGCACAGTCAGAAAATCAATAGGGCGTGTGCACTCACGTGACCAGCAGCCATGCAAATTTATTGGAACAAAAGAAAGTGTTTACATAAGAAAAGAGTTGAACTCCCACAGGATTGGTTTGCACACGTTCTAAAAACAAATGGGATATTCTAAAACGCAATTTCTGGAACAAACAAAGGAAATCGGCTTAATTTTTTCCAGATAAAATTAACAAATCTGGCATTAAATGCCCTTTTTGGCTATTTTTTTTGCCAGAGTGGTAAACATTTTGGCACAGCTTTGCATTAACTGCTTAAATTTTGCCACGAGAATTGAAAATGTTAGCTGATAAGAAATGGGTAAATAACTGAAAATTTTACCAGGACCGGAGCTTTGAAGACAGCTATGGTAAAAATGTCACGAAAAGTTAAGATTTTGGCCAAGATCTAGTTGCAAAAATCAGCTTAAAAGAGGAGTTTTCTGCAAGGAAGGCAACAAATATGGTAAAAAGTAAGCCTA